GGATTAAATGTGATAAAAAAAATTTCATTCACCACATTTCAATTCCAAATAAATCATTTATTTTCTTATTGACATTTCAAACAGTCATTCGTACATTCAACTTTTATCTTTTTTTATTTCATATGACAATTATTTTAAGACATTGTAAATAAAAACATTATTAAAAACAATTAGAGGAAGGAATTGTGTTGAATAGCAAAGTAAATACATTTTTTAAATGTAACTGATGACAATATCATAAATGTATACATTTAAAGCCACAGTAAGTGTTCTCTGTCAATGTAAACCATAAAATTAGTGACATAGGTGTGGGAAAATATCAATTACTCAAATAAAAATTTCACTTTCAAAAAGAACATTTGATAGTACAAACAAGCAGTTGTAATGCTCAAATATTGAACGAAATAAATCCTACAACAATCATATATGGCATACTGATATCATTCAAATCATTTTAGGTGATGAAAAGCAAAATAAGTTCACAAACACAAAAGTTAAGGATCACATCGTCCTAATTTAGTACGTATAATGTGAACACGCACGAGCGTTGCGTATCAAATGAAATATGTAAGATATTATGATACTGTTAAGAAATTCAAAGTCGAAGATTGGAAAGAAGAAATCATCACGTCTGTCATAGAATCTAGTTTGAAGTTGTCCATATATGGTAATATTGACGGATAATAAACAGACCTTCTTTTCTTGGTAGTAACTTTAATTTCTTATTAACTGGTTTATACTGGGTTAATTGGGGCAGGACATCATCAATATATCTGAAAGTGATTTAAAAATGTCCAGCATTTCGATGATATTAGCCTAAGTGTATATGTTTTTTTCAGTGCAATTCCTCATAAAGGATGATTTTTCATGAACTAACACAAAACATCTTATGTTTTCATAAAATGATTCGCTTGGGTTCTCCTTGTCAAGAATATACTTATCAAATATCAATAAATTAATCATCATATATTCTTGTGTCTCACTACAAAAAATATCTGTGAAGTGATATTAGACATGATTCAACTATTAACAAGTGACTGGACTTAACCATGTGTGCTGATTTGGAGAGCATATTATTAAATGTATGCAAATCATGCAAATAATTAAATTTTCAAAGAACATATTGTGTGAGAAAGGGATGCTTTAGAGAATCCACATCACAAAAGGCTTTTCGGGGTGTGCTAAATTACGGGAAAATAAATTTCACTTCGTACCCCGAAAATGTAACCACATATGTAAAAATGTCGCAGCTTCAAAACGAACTATCATAAATATCCAAGTTTACGATATAGGCAGAGGAATTAAGAAAAAGGCTACCATTACCGCCTATCTGAAATGAAATGTACCCATTTAACCATTTTTTTCAAAATGTATCTTCCCGAATGACAAAACACAAAACATTAAACAATTAAAACCAGTTTGTCGAAGTCTGATTGGACTCAATAACTGCAATTTGATATAACTTTTTTTATTACATATTCTTTCTCAAACTATTATAATCAAGATACAAGAAACACAATTCTTACATTGATTTTTTTAGTAAATGTGAAATCTAGGCATATTATTTCAAAAAAATTATTTCAAGGGAGAACATAATGACTGTGCTTTATTATTTTGAGTGAAGTTTAAATAAAGTCATAATCCATTTCCTTGAAAATTGACGTTTTGTGTATTGAAAATGTTTTAAATGACTATGTTGAGGTTAGGGGAAAAAACGAGAGTTACCATAATGTGTTTTAATTTTCAGTTTGAAAATGAAAACAGAATTTATTTTAATAGGAAAACTTTCATCCTTAACTGTAAAGTGTGATGACGTTGATAATTTATAAAATATATTCCTGTGTTATTTAGTAGACAAGACGTGCGTTTCGCCTAAATTAGACTCATTTATATCGTTGAACTAAATACTACTGAAAAAAAAACCAAATAAGGTGTTACAAAGCACTGAAAATAGATAATTCCAAAACGTTCGAAAACATATCTGTCTAAAGCATTGAAGCCATTGGAATAAAAAACCTTACTATTTGGAATTATTTTATAAACATATGATTTCCACGAAATAGCCGCATTAATGATTGTTTATGTTCGCACGTGAGTGTCCTTCAGGGGTATGTTATTTAAAGGGAATGATATAGCCCCTTACTGTCATAAGGTCATATTTTTATAACATAACTCAGCGAATTTGTGAGTTCGGTTGATGAGAAAATTCAACTTGTTGGACATGTTAGAGGCGACAACAGCGACGGAATAAAGACTCTTTGATTATTCTCCTACACATTAACTTAACCTATACAACAATCATATTAATATATGCAAGCTGTATAGATTATCATAAAATTGCGCTAAAGTAATGACCTAGCAGCATACGTTTTATGATATCATAAAATTGCTTTAAAGTAATGACCTAGCGACATACGTTTTATGATATCATAAAATGCTTTAAAGTAATGACCTAGCAGCATACGTTTTATGATAGTTTGGTTATGTTTGTATATGTAATAATGCCATTGTCCATTTAGTATTCTTAGATATATAGGTATATATTGATCGCAAACTAAAGTGACAAATTGTATCCTTTCTAGTAAAATTTACAACGTTCCTAAAATGAACAAACCTATAAGATGTGTAAATAGAGTTATACATAGAAGATGTTATGTCATTCATTCAAAACATGGTAAACGTTTAATGAAACTTTATTTTACAATGTAACAAATATAACAATCTGTGCAATGAATATAAAATATAGTCATTGAAAATGTTAATAACTGATGGATAAGCTTTTTTAAGTTTTTAACATAATAGTCTCTACTTTTACAAATGGAATTGTTGGATTTGCAGAAATCATCTGAAATCTGTTGTCAATAACATCGTACTTAAATCCGTTTTTTTAGAGTTAACTAAAACTGGTCATATTTGATATATCCTAAACATACAATGCAACAGTGATTGCAAAAAGACTTTGGCAGATGATGCAGGGATTCCTACTTTTTCAATGGACCAGGTGCAAAATTACATGAGAGGCAAATGCTGTTTTTGCAATAAATAGACCGCATACTTATTGTTTTCTTTCAAAAGTCTTATTAACTAATAAGTTCAAAATTGTTTAACATAATAGTTCACTTTTCCAAATGCACTTGTTGAACTTGCTGAAATCATCTGACATGTGTTGTCAATAACATTGTACTCGAATCCGTAGCAATCGTGATTTAAAGTGCAAATTCTGCCACAGTTTAATCGTGACATCACTAGAAGGGCCTTGATAGAGACATGAGTACTTTGGTGCTCCTCCAGTGTATAATTTACATCAAATAAATCATTACCTGCAAATAAAAATAATCAATCACTAAAGGAGAAAAAGAATAAATAAAGGCAACAGTAGTATACCGCTGTTCAAAAGTCATAAATCGATTGAGAGAAAACAAATCCTGGTCACAAACTAAAACCGAGGGAAACACATCAACTATAAGAGGAAAATAACGGAACAACAGAAACACTGAAGTGCAAAAACAACAAACGCCAACATACATAGAAACGAAATATTTGATTACAACTGCCATATTCCTGACTTGGTACCAGACATTTTAAGAAAAAATGGTGGGTTCAGAAGGTTAATAGGGAAGCTTAATATGACATCTGATTTTAAATTGAAACTATTTTTTTTTTCAAATATGCATTTTTCTGAATGTTATAAAATGATTTAATAATATTTATGGAACACATGTTACTGCACCATCTGAGCCTTTGACAATTATTGTCTCTAAAGTGATGCTCGAAGCCGAAATTATAGAAAATCCAAAATCGCATTCACACTTTGAAAAGCTTTAAAGAAAAAACGAATCCAAAACTGGATAAGCGATATGCACAATGGAGAAACATTCCTTGATTTATAATTATTTTACAAGGTTGAATCATATTTCAATAAACAATATCTGTATTTTCATGCATGTACTGAAGTATTGAGTTCTGTGCTGGTGATACATATCTTTCCGCATATTGTCGGGGTTTTAGTTCTCTGAAAGGGTTCTTGTTGATGAATCTCATTTTGTTTTTGTTACATTTTTGTTGGCTTTTGATTGATTTTTTATCATTTTATTTGAAGTATGGATTTGTCAGGGATTTCTTTAATTTTCTTACTGTTTTAGGAAAAAACAAGATTGGCCATTCTTTCTAGATTGTGTACGTTTCATTTATTATTATGTGCATTTTATTCATTTTCATTGCAGTACTACAACACTCGAGAAACGCAGACGGCTTCTCGACACCATGACTTCATTTCAATATACGAAACACCCATACACTCTAGGTAGACATTGGAGAGATGTGTATAGACCAATTAACTTACTTTCAGCACAGTCAGTTCCCTGATATGCGGGATCGCAATTACAATTGTGTCCATTTATTACATCTGTACATGTACCACCATGCTGACATGGATTGGAACCGCATTCATCAATATCTAAAAGTTACATTTGAAAATTGGACAGGATAACACATAGCTATTAATGATATATAACTCATGCAACACTTCAATTGTTACGTCTTTCATGTAAAAACAGTGTTTTAGTACAATTTGAACATGATGCGTAAAACACCCAACACCACAAATCGTGAATTCAGATTTTTTTTTGCATTTTAAAAAAGGTTTTAGTCAAACTAGTTCCATATTATGATAGATTACTGTTACATGTGTATCAATTGATTCAATTGATAAGTGAAATCCATATTGACAAAAATTAAACTGTATTCATCAACAATTAAATTTTGCGTCAGAAACATTTTTTGATAAAATATAGTTATAACTGTTACCAGCCACACTTGGATTGTTAATAACTCATGTAATCTTTATGTATTCTACTCCAATTAAAAAAAAAACGCATTACAGCTACAAATTTTTATTTAAGAAATCTGCTTTTGCAAGTGAACATTTATTTAGTATGCATGGCATCAACACGCAAATTCCTGTTAGACACTGGAAGAATATGTCTAATGCGATTACTTACTTTCTTCACAGTTATTCCCCGTGTATCCTTGGATACAAGCACAAGTGTACCCATTAATTCCATCTGTACATGTACCACCATGTTGACATGGATTTGAAGCACATTCGTTAATATCTGAAAGTTATATTATGAAAATAAGTTATAAAGGTCGTGAAAATAGGAAGCTGACTTATAAAATATCCCTTCAAAATTATATATACAAAAAATAAAAAATAAAAAAAACGTAAACAAAAGTTCCTTATTATAGATACATGGATGAAAAAAAAATTGCAGATAACAAAAAACAAAAACAAAAAACAATAAGAGAGTTTAAATTGTACAATTTCATATAATTTATAAGCATTTTGAGTATACAGATTTGTACATACATTATACAAAATCGGATGATGCTGTCTTTAAGTGAAATTATTCGTATCTGACTGTTTTTCGGATTTGATGGAATTCTGTATCCACATATAAATTGTACAAATGCATCAGGTTATTGGAAAAACGAAACATGTAGCATTTATAATTCAAATTTACAATCCATTACAATTTTGTAAAACATTTCTATTAAGGCATGGGAAAGGATTCTGGTCTCTCTTTAAATTACGATATCTCGAAATTTTGCCAATAGAATAATTGTAATTATATAATAAATTATGAAAATAAAAGAAAGTCATCGCATTGACTTTTGCTGTCAACATCATTAACGTTTGAATAGCATAAAAATCTACGATTTAGAAGCGTAAAGCTGTGGCTACTTTATTTATTTATGTTGCCGTTTCTTACACTTTGTGTACTCTTTAAATCCAGACTAATTGATTTATTTTGAGCAAACGAAATCGATCACTCCCTTTCACATATCAATGCTAAGCGTGATTCCAATCAACAAATATTGTATTGAAATAGCAAAACGGTGCATTTATTTGTGCTACATTTTACGTGCATTCTATACATTTATAGATCTGTTTCACTACTTTTAGTGAATGTATTACAAGAGTTATGAAGGCTACACGTTTCACTACTTTTAGTGAATGTATTACAAGAGTTATGAAGGCTACACGTTGATGTTTCGAAATTCAAATGCTAGATCTAAATATATTAAATGCAAATATATATTTTCGAATATAGCTCAATTATGTATGCTATGCCGTAGATGTAGTTCTAATAATGTTCAGATGATGTTTGACCTCATGAACTCAAAATAACAAGTATTGCTTAGCTAATAATTGGTAATATAATTTGATATATTTCAAAATTGAATAATATTTGAAATTAGCATTGCTTCGCGTGGAAAACGACTTGATAAGTATTTAGAAAGCAATAAGCACAAACTATATAATTTTACAATATTTAAACCAATTGTATAATTATTTGACGTCCTTTTCTCAAATTCAAAATTTACTAGAGCATGAATAAGTACGTGGTACCATAATCCCTGAGTGCTTAAGGATATTGGTCGACATTCGCCTATAACTGCATTGTATGCTATTAAAAAGGTTTGAGTCACATTTCGATCGTATTTACAAAATAAAAAGTCAAATATCGATAACTTGGAATTAGCACTGATCATTTAAAAGTGTTACTTAAAACTTATAAAAACTTAGGATAAGTCTTGAGCTATTGTACTGACTTCTTTTACTCGGCCTTGTGTTTGAACGCACAAACAGCGCAAGCATATTATATCGCTATATTTCTGGAAGAATAACTTACTTTCTTCACAGTTAGCACCGGCATATCCTGTGTCACAAGTACAAATGTATTCATTGATCATATCTATGCATATTCCACCATCTTGACATGGACTTGAAGCGCATTCATCAACATCTGAAGAAAAAATGTTTTTGATAAAACATAGTTGAAACCTGTATGGAAAATGTTATTCCTATATCTGATGTAAACACTATATTGGAACGGGTTGAAAATATTACACCGCATTCTACGTGTTAACTAAATAGGTATATGCATACTGAATAGTGTGATATATTGAATCTCTTTGTTTTACGCGACAAAAATGATGTCCATCAAATTGATCATCAAAAAATGTAATGACTTCTTATCGTGTATTTATAACTTGTATTTGTGGATCATAAAGTAGTTTGCTAAATATCTCACTTGTATGAATGTACCATATAATTCCCTTATGTTGACAACAATGTTTGGGCAAAACAAACAGACATAATAGGTAAAAATGTCAAAATTTGTGTGCATGCACATTCTTGTCGTTAACCTAATATTTTATTGTCGGCAATCAATCGCCAGTTCTGTCCGAGGGAATTGCAACCTAAAATGTTTATATTTATATAATAAATTTCAGAAAATTGTCTGACAAAAATCATCATTAAGTAAATTTTATATTGCTGGTTCCTCTAAATACTCAACAAAACCTTTTTGTAAACTATTAACTTAAAATGTATAAGCAATCAAATATAAAAAAAGAAGATGTGGTATGATTGCCAATGAGACATTTCTAATAAAGTCTGGCTTCAGAGCTACTGTGAACTTACATACTCTAGTAGAGGTTTGAATTAGATTTGGAAAAGAAAAACTTCCAAAGTGCTATTAAAATATTTACAATATAAGTCTCTTTTCTCTTGCAAAGGTATACAAACATTTAACTGTTCTACCCTTTACACTTGTATTCTCCATTGTAAAGTCAGACAGATTAACAAAATTCGTCCTACTTTCGTTTCATTTAAAAGAATGGCCAGCGTAAATACAAATATCGTGTTTAAAGAAGGAATAAATTATACGTTTGCAAAACTCACTCTCATAAAAAAAACATATCTTAAACTTATATACCAACATGATATATGTACGATATTCTTATGGGAAAAAACATTGCTCCTTTTCTTGCTGACTTGTTCCTTCATTCATATGGAAAAGCATACCGAAGCTTTTTATTAGGATCCTTACATTATCCGTGATTTAGATATATAATAATTGATAAAGATGATGTCCTGTTACTAAAAAATCATAGTTTGACGACTATGTTGAACATATCTATCCCATCAAACTTAGAATAAAGTATACCGCAGATACAATTAATTTTGCCTCATATCTTGAACAACATTTCGAAATTGACAAAGGAATCGGTTCAAAATAATACATTTAGAAATTGACCAAGGAGGTCGGTTCAAATAATTTTTTTACAACAGAAGGGATGATTTAAGCTTTCCAGTTGTAAACCTTTTATTGCCCCGCTCTTGCATATGATGTATATATTTCCCTGTTGGACATGTTTTTTTTTAATTTCCTGTTGAAATTTTTTAAATCATTTTAAGTTAAGGAAAATGCCTCATTATGCATAGCTCTGATTCCTTGTCCGTGCTTGGCTTTATTTTGATCCTGTTTGGTTATACATTGTATCTGCTCTTCAACGTTTATATGAGATTTAAAATTTTCAAATATTTGGCATCGTGAATCAATGAAAATCCATCAATTATCGAAATGTGCATATGCTGCAGTAAAATTTGTACTGTTTATGTTAATATAGCATATATAGGAGTAAGATGATATTTCGTATGATATGCCTGCATTACACCTGGAAGTATTCTAAAAGCAGAAGCATGTCTTTCAATCATATCATACAGATTGCATTTTTTCTCTGAAAATGTGTTGTTGTTTTTATATTCCATTGTTTAACCTGTTTTCCATTCCTTTACTATGTACGTTTATTTGTCTCCTTTGTTCCCCTTTTTTTGTTATTTTTTGTGATATTTACTTGTCTTACCTTTTTCTGTTTTTATTTGTAGGTTTCAGAATTGGCAGTGTGTTATATCGATATTTTATAGTGATTTCAAGTTATTCACTTCCAAATGATTGTATATATCAGAAATTTAAGTGTTTTCATGATTAGGAAATATTAGTCGAAAGTATCTGCAATAATATAACTGTAATAAGGTATCCGAAATTGATTATTTGATCAAGTAATAACTCAATTAATTAATTAATCAATCAATCAATTGATTCATTTACTAATCAATTATTAGACACAATGTCATATGTATAGTATCATCAAATAATTTTATTGACTTTTTCATAAATTTTGTTCTCGTAATTGTAAAATTAGGTTAAGATAAGAGTCCATTCAAGTTAAAATGGTTTACCTGAACATGTGTACCAAACTGTCATATATTTATTGTAATTTTCGCATGGGTCAGTACCAATAGATGTTGGATTAATAGAACAAGTCTGTTTGTTCTCACATTTTTGTTTGACCCAATTTGTTGAGTCCATGATGCATGGAAAACCTCCGTGGTATTGTCCATGACCACCAGCGCATGTTGTTCCATCATATCTGCCATAGGTAGAACTACTTATTGTCATAACTGAATACAAGTCACATGATACTGTGTCTGTATCCACGTGACAAATAATTTGCTCAAGACCTACAAATGAAAGTTAAAAATTATCTATTTTCAATGTTAAAGTTAATTGGAATTATACTAGTAAGGTCTCGTTATGCTGTAGATAAATAAAAACATATCATGGTCGTTTTTAAACAGTCAAATATTTTGACGAAAAAGTGGCCAATAGATGGTTAGAAATGAATTCATTTTAAGTATTTTCAGACCATACTGCAGCTTCTCTAATTTTTATCCGATTAATCCTTTTCCTGACCTATTGATTATTTTTATTTAATCAACGTGTGTTTCATTTGATCTCAGTTACTCGTTGGTCAAAATTCAATTATGACGTTAAATTTTCTTGCTTCCCTCTGAATGTCCTATTGTGACGTCATGAAAAGGCGACCATGCCTGATGACGTCACATACAAAGAACATATCTTTTTGCAGATCATTTAAAAAGAGGGAATAAATTTGCCTCCATATTGTATAAAAATCATTAGAGAAACAGATTCCACCACCAAATCTAGTGTAATACGATATTTATCCACTCTCAGCAGTTTAATTTTAAATATTTAAAACGCTTGGCGAGCCTCGCGTTCTACATTTGAAAATTTAACTGTCTAGAATGGATAAATATCGTATCACACTCGATGCAGTGGTAGAATCTATATTTATATCAGCCTTTACGTAAGGGAAGCGGAAGATACCACAGTGATATTCAAGGATCATTACGTTTTTATCTAATTCTTTGCATGCAATAAAGCATATTAAAAAATTGTTGTACTTAATGTGTTCAGAAATATCATCTGAAATTTATAATCTAAAAACATGAATAAATCATTGGAAAACACTAAAATTACGCACATACTCAACGATCTATAATGACTTAATGGGCACAAGTAACGCATTGTCAAAAAAATGTTCATTTAACTTTACAGCGACTGCATGTCCCTTATTAAACGCATTCATTCTTTGACTTTTAGTACAATACATATGCGCCATAATAATTCATTGATTTTCAGCATTCAAAAGATTTTTTCACCTTCTCTTTACACACGGCTGTCATTCGGTATATCGAGAAAAATGATCACGAAAGAATAAGTAACTGTAGCCAAGCATCGTGAAAGATCTGGGATCGGATAAAGAAAGCAATTAAATTATATTCAACTGCAAAATCAGTGAAAATATCCGTTGTATTATCAACAGGCGGAAGATTTAAAGAAAAGAAATATGTCTGTCAAAATGGTTCAACTTCTTTAATAATACTGTGCACCAAGTTAAAGGAAAAAGACAGTACTTTCTAAGAAACCACAAAAGGCGAATTAAAAAATGTATTGCTATGCAATGTGTTATATAATCCACACAGATTTGCATATGGTTTTGTAAATACGTCGGTTAGTTGATTGCTTTGTCTGGTTTCAAAACACATAGACATTATTTGTCTGGTTTCAAAAAACATAGACATTATTTGTCTGGTTTCAAAACACATAGACATTATTTGTCTGGTTTCAAAACACATAGACATTATTTGTCTGGTTTCAAAACACATAGACATCATTTGTCTGTAAATTTGCTATTGAATCAAGCTAAAGTTAATTACCTTTGCATTACGCAACAGCATTATCTATATGTCCTTTATCATACCATTAAAAAGAGTATAGAAACGTAATTTGGTATGAAATACAAGTGAACAGGGCTTTCAGTTTATGTTAAAATATTTATTTTGTTATGTTATAATTCATACTATCATCATGATCATATTGTTTTACTACAAAAGAGATTTTTGTTGAACTCAGTATTTGTCCAACATGCATTTTCATTTTGACAGAAAAAGAAACATCATGACAAACCGTTCATATGGATAACAGTACAAAGAAAAAAAAGGAACAAGGACATTAAGGGCGACACATGAACATAAAGCTCATTAAAATATTGAGTGATCATATTTTAGTTTCAGCATTCGCGTTGTTTTCCTATAAATGTATGTATATGTTCGGTTTTTTTTCGTTTTGTTTTATTATTTTTCAACATAATCATGAAAACTTAAAAAAAAATAAATAAAAAAAATCTACATCCGATTCTTGTAAAGAGAAAAAAAAACAACATTATTTTAAATCATATTTAGAGTGAAGATCCGGGTACTTACCTGAAATAGGTAATATAAAGCAAACCATAAGATGAAGAAACCTCATCGAGTCTTCAATCACAAAAGTTTTTAAAGTAGAAGGTAATGTATGCATCTTGAATGAGATTGCAAACTGTATGGTCACTGCAATTATATATTATATATGTCGGTTTAACTAGGGTAAACAAAAACGGGTTGACTTTGATAAAAACGAACCATTTAGAAGTAGCGCTAATGTACTATTGTCTTTGAAATGTTTCTAAAAATAAGGTCTAAATAATTTAGATATTTACATTAGGAGAGTGTAAAATTCATTTACAACAAATCTACGTTTTCATTCATTTAATATAAAATTAATCTTTGATTTAATTAGAACAAATATTTATGTATGTATTAACTTAATATGAATTATACTTTGATACATATATATGCTTTGTACCCATACTGTATGAGGATGGTTGATGCTTTTAAACGTTATTCAAATTTCAAAATGAGTAAACAGTTTGAGCAAATTATGAATACATGGTCAACTATACAATTGAAATGTTGTCTTTGAAGTAGAAATTGTCAGCAGGTCAAACGTTACAATATCGATTACTTAATTGATCAAAGAATTGTGAACCGCATAACATATATTTCTTTTCTATACATAGCCTCTGTCAAAAAACACTATAGATTATAGATAATTAATAACAATAATAAGAGTTGTAGTCAGCATAACACACACAAAATAAAACAATATATATCATCAATAATATTAGTCGACTGGGCATCATAGCCCGCTCTTGATAAAAACCTTAATCTTGTATATATTCAGAAAAGTCCATATTCTAATGGTTAAGAGGACTAAGTTTCAAGTTAGTGTGACTCTGACTTCATATTAAAAGACCTTAAATTATAACTTAAACCTTGGAATGTTCTGATTTCACACGATCACATTTTCATGTTTTCTTAACTTCAAAATCTAGGTAAAGACCATTATTCGACATATGTGTGTTTAATTTCACTTTTCTAATAAGCGATACATTGGTGTTATATCCCAACTCCTTTATTCTAACACGGGTGATCTGAGTCGGATCACCCCATACCAGATCACCCTACCTTGAGTCTTTGTTCTGTATGCTTTCTATTATTCTGTCACATTTTGGTGGGAATGTCGAACACACAATAAAA